TCCTTTCCTTTCCTTTCCTTTCCTTTCCTTTCCTTTCCTTTCCTTTCCTTCCCTCTCCTTCCCTCTTATGAATATGGCGGATATGACGTCACATGCATGCCAGCGATATTTCATATTCGCGTTTTTTCACAAACGTCAACGTTTATTTCTTCTCAGATGACACCAGAACGTCGATTCGTCATCGATAAACATCCCCGATTCGACAATATCATCATTGCTACTGGTTTCTCGGGTAAGTAGCCTGTTATACTGCCGAGCACTGCTCCTTGGATACTAGGGGGTGGGGGTCAGTACTATACTGATATTTTTCACCAAACTTAGTGCTTGCATCAAATGACTGAGTTCCTCTTATGCAATCAAAAGGCTTAGAAAGATTGTCTTGTCATGTGACGTAATTTCARTAGTAAGAGTAGAAAGCATCTTAGTGTCCTACGCAGCTGTTATTAGTGTCGTCACGCAACGCTCACTGCCGTGACGACACTAATAGCGGCTGCGTAGGGGACTATAAGTATTTCAGCTTGACGTGACTAGACTACGCAGGAACGTTTTACAAAAATTCTCAAGCTGAGCTTTGCCGTTGCACACACGATTCAGATAGAATTTTGCTTGGCTTGGGCGCAATGTTTCCCCATCTCGGACAAAATGTTATTTCCTAAAGTATCATTTCTTCGTTAACGGTTGCACACGAGAAGACACATAAATAAGGTTTGAGTCTTACTTCAAGAGAATTTCAGGTGGTCTGAAATGGGGAAAACACTATGGCCCACGGTTACTAAGTACATTACTGTGATCTTTCCTCCCCCTGATTTTTCAACTTGTCTATCTGAAAACGGAGGGGGGGGGGATAGCTACGTCGTTATCAATCGCATTCTTTATATTGAGAATATGTTTTTGCTTTTGTAGCTCATGGATTCAAGCACGCGCCGGTAGTGGGGAAGATCCTGAGTGAACTAGTTCTGAATCAAACACCTTCTTACGACATTTCACATTTTAAGATTTCAAAACATATCACGGGAAAAACCAAATCATCTCTATAAAAACTGTTAAGATCAAATTTATATTTAAAACAAATAATTGAATAAGAATGAGAATTACGAATTTACAACATTTCACATTTTAAAGTTTCAAAATTCATGACAGGAATGAAACAAATCATCTATATAAAACTGTTAAGATTAATTTGATATTAACAAAATTATTGAATTAAGAAAGACTAGGAAACAAAAAATGTCGATATTTTGCTTCAAGTTTCTTAGAGAAAGTTCTTAAGCTCAGCTGTTTTAATATATTATATATGAATTTTAAATAAGTGGACTGATTGCTTACCTAGTCATACATCGCGCGCGTCAATGAATAATAATAGTAAAATAATATCACGAGGTATCCTTTGCATTTCAAGTAATTGATCTAAGACAAAAAAACTATCTTACATTTATTTTAGGGTTTTTCGGTCCTTCTATGAACGGTTAAGATCAAACTTCTATGCAATAAAAAATTATTGGGATAAGAAAAATTGAGAAAAAAATGATAATTTTATGCTGATCAAAATATCGTTCCCACAGAAGCCATACCGCCAGGTTCCTATCAGCAAAAAGCAACACTTTCCTATCAATTAAAAGCAAGACTAACTTTGATTTACAATTACTGATGACCAGGACCAGCAGACTTCAAATTAATCATATGACAAATGGAGAGAAGAGAAAAGAACTCATTTGTTTGCACTTTTCTAGGAGTCCATTTGTCTTGAAAGCTGAATAAACGTTGCAGCAATTCTCAGTTTTGTTCATTAAACAAAGACAATACCCAGTAAATAAACTGATTCCACACCTTTATTTCAATCAATTATTCCCAAGGTCTTCCCCTCATCAATCTATACTAGCATTTTCATGAAAACTTATTCATGGAGAAAAGAAGATTTAGAGCTGTTTTTGTATAAGTGAGAAACGTAGAGTACTGAATTGCAGCACCGACTTATACGGTACGACATGCGGTAACTGAACATTGAAATGGCTTCCCATTTCCTTCCAGTATTTCATACATTCACAATTTACGCCTTGCAACAAATTACAATAAGATACAGTACGACTACATTCCCCACTCATATACGAAAGCGGACGCTCTATTTTAAATGAATCAATCGTGATCAATACAAATCTTTGAATCAATATGCAATAGATAAGTGCTTTAGTTTCTCGTCTTTGGCACTCCTAGATGCATTACATCACATCTCGAATGTTGTCCAGCACCAGTGACATGAAAGATCTTCCCTTGATGTCTTGTGGCTCTGTCAACCATCTGCTTTTCTTGGTGTCGTAATACCGGTCAAGCACGTTTAGGGACCAAGGAACCTTAATCTTGCGCAGCTCCTTGGCGAAAAATCTTCCAAAGTTTATCACCTCGTCCTCTCTTAGACTTCCCTTTTTGTTGTCTGTCGGCATCCACGCGCCAAGGTAGGTCAAGAGCTTGCTTTTCTTAGTGAAAGTGGTGGCTTGCTTGAATGCCTTCTTGACATTTTTGCGACCCTTGTTCTTTCCATCTCCTTTCCAGTATTTTTGTCCTCCTCTTTTTTTGTTGGGTCCCGAGGCATAGATATGCCACTCAGCCATCATGAATCGATCGTTCTTATAGATATTTTTATCAATCAAGTGGAGCTCTCTCGCAGTCTTTGCCGGTGACCCTAGGATCAGGATACGCCTTGCGTTGTTTCCTCCAGCTTCACGGATCGCTCTAACCACGTCAGCAGTCCAGCGATTGTACTTGTCTGGATTCATGCGAAGACTTTCATTGCAAGTGGACTTCTTTCCCCCGCATCCATCGAGCCCTAGCTCAGTGAACAGGTTGAAGCCAAGCCTATAGTTCTTATCTTTGAGGTGCTTAGCCACGGCTGTCCACCAAGTCACGTAGTTCACACGATCTTGTTCAGTTGCGTAGGCTTCGGCGTGATGGTGTATCCACGAAATAATCGGCGCAACTCCAACCTGAAGGCACTTATCAACCACCACCGTGAGGTTCCCAAGAAACCATTCAAATTTGCGGTTGTTGTACGGTGCCGTGTACAAGTCTGCTCTGGACCGAAGCCTTACGTTTCTAAACCCCTTGGCATAAATATCTTCGATGTTTTTGTCATTGTACTTCTTCAACGGGTTTTCTGTTTTAAACCAGTTTGTCGAGAACCCTTGCGCGATGAGCTTCTGGTAGTCAGCAGGGCTGATCGGCTCTGATACCCTTATGGCTGATGCGACGCCAAAGAAACACGCTAAATAAAATGCGAACACCATTGTGAGCTTTACCGAGCTAAATCTCACAAGGATGAATGCTATGTGAGGAGGTTGAAAGCTGATAAGGTTTTTAATAGTCTAAAGTAAGCTGGAACCGTCAACATTGTTCAGCGATAGCCAATCATGGTCATGATATGAAGTCATAGTGATACTTTTCTGTTTGTTTTACGCGGCATTTTTGTCATTCATTTAAGACAGCCATATAAGATATCTTTTACCCTTTGTTAAAACTACCCAATCCGGTTTTAAGCTAAAAAAACATGTCACATGAAATCGAAACCTATTTACCTGTTGTTTCGTAGACTTTGGTCGGTCCAGCCCAGAGTCTAGCCAGTGCTAGGTCTGATGTTTTTTGTCTACGCCGGTTCTTTAACGGGCTACCTGTGGTTGGATTCCACAGGAAGAGCAGTTGGTTTCCCTGTGGTATGGAAGCGGCCGCCATGTTGTTTGTACACAAGAATTTTTACGTGACTGAGTTTAGATGAGCGTTGTGTTTGTCCGTCGCTGGATTATCGCTTTTATTGTAGCTCTGGGGGTTATTTTTATCATATCTTTATCACTGAGGAAGGTTAGTTTGTACCTTAAACCTTTAGAATTGGAAAAAAGAAACACACAAAAAGTCTACGCTTCCAACTTTTAGCTTCTCGAGTTCCAAAGTTAGCTTACTTTTTTAGTCGATTTGATGAATGATTTGTGAGGTTTTGCCTTCTTGTTTTAGTCAGACGATGGACAAGATCTAGGAGACATACCAAGTGAATCATTTGAATGGATTGATATCGAAAATCTGACGGAGTACAGACAATGTAGGAACTCGGTGCAGGGTGCATTTTTGATTGTGGACGAGAGAGGTAAGGAATACGTCAGCTTACGAAATACTAGCTAATTAATAAACTTCACCAAAACTTAATTAATACTACAGCTACCAAGCACATCTGCTTACTGGATCATTATTCATGGTTTTTTTGGTTCTATCAGGACCTATTCTAACTGCCTCTAATAGCTACAAAAGCTTTTATGACATACATTTCTTTATAATTTACCTTTTCTGTTGCCAGTGTTTATGATGACATGCATTAAGACTGTAAATTGTTTCAAAAATTTCTTAACCAATATTTAACTTCTTGCAGTCAATCTCCACTTCATTGGTTGGCTTGACATCAAATAAACATTACTAATTTTAATTTCTATTTCCATACTCCCTTCCCATCCACTTCCCATTTTTCATTTATTTATTAAATTGGTTCTGCCATCATAAATCATACAGATATTCATTCGCTGAATGAGGGGTTGTTTCAATTTTTCTTGTAGGATTTGTATGCAAACGAAGTGATCTTTCGGCTAGTGGTTGTTGCCATAGTGATGGTGACAGTACAAAGCAGTTTTACTGTGGTAACTGTCAAATGAACAATTGTTGTAGTGTATATGAGCACTGTGTGTCTTGCTGTCTTGATCCTAAAAAGGTATGGTCTACTCATATTTAGGATGCTTTCACAGTTAAATTACAACCATTCCCAAGAAAGTTAAATGACAAAGATCCTCCCCCCTCAAATCCCCAAGAGAACCTGTTCAAATACAATGTTGGTGGTATAAACAAAGGAAGCCAATGAGAAGTATTTTGTCAAATACCACTAACATGGCCATGATGACGTAACATGCAAACTAAGTTTAAAACTAGTATGGATTGAGCATCAGTAAGAAACATATAAATGGTGTGAAAAACAGGAGAGAATTAAGCAGATCTACTCACATATGATTGTCAGGTCCAAGGGTCAAACTCATTATTATAGGGAAGCACCAGTGGCGTGTGCTGCTAATGCGCTGCCTCTCACTAATGCTGCCCGAGTTTGAGTCCTTACGATCTCGATGTTGTATGTAAGTAGAGTTGTTTGTTGGTTCTCTCCTGTGCTTTGAGGGTTTTTCTCCGGGTTCTCTGGTTTTCCACCTTCCTCAAAAATCAACTTCTAAATTCTAATTCAATCTCTGGGCTTTCACCTAGTTTGGAGCCTAGCTCTGTTGTGATTGTCCCAAGCTGTGATACAACAGCGAAAGCTTTGTAGATTATAGCAGCCTTGTCAGAGGTGGTGCATTAGCAGCATATGCCACCCATACTTCTCTAATTTTATATCCTTTTTAATCAGATTAATATTTACTGTTATTAGAAATTACTATTACAAGAAGTGATCAGTATTTGGAGGGCAAGCCCTAATGTGATCTACAAGTCTGTCAAGGATCAGTTTGAATTCTGCCTGACCAAATGTAGGACATCGTCTAAGGTACCTATCGACAACTTAAAATGCCACTTACAATTGAAAATTTCAATGAAATTTTTTTTTTGTTTCATCTTTTCAGAGTGTATGGCATGAAAACTCCTACAAAGATAGAAGATATAAATATTGTTTTGGTCTAACACCACCAGAATTTGCACCATTTAACTAGAAAGAAAAAAATTATTAGAAAATAAGTCCAAATTAATATATAAATTTTCATTCCTTTGGCTGTTTTGCATGATTGGCTCATAACATTAGGGTCTTATTATTTGATTTTCGCTTTATTTTTTTTTGCAATTTAATTAAGTTATTTTTATACATAAAAATAGGTGTTTTGTATTTCTAAGTTTTTATATCCCAAAGTTTGAAGCACTGATTGAATATTTTTACAAGGATTTGCTTGATAAGCGAGACATTGCCATTATTATTGAGTTGAACTTGACTCATCGACTTCTCTAAAGTTGGTGTAGGTATACACATGTTTTTATATAGTCATCATGAGGTAATATTTACACGTGCTGAAATATGAATGGAATACACTGAACTGGTGAAGATGACTGCGTCAATGAGAGGTCAATATCAAAGGTTATGGCTTGACTCTGGATATTATGAAACATTGCTTCCCAATTCACCTTGGCATAAGGTAAGTTGCATGTTTGTACACATGTATGTACCTGCACAACTGTTAAATTAATAAATGATACTCTAGGTAATTGACACATGGTCTGAAATGGAAAAACATCCAAGCTAAAGGGATATATTGTTTTTTACTTTCATCCYGTATGTCGTAACCTTTCATTAACCTATTCCTGCATGTTTTTTCCTTCCTAAAATTGGTTTCCCTTATGTTTTACTTGCAGATTAAAGAATCTGTTAACTCACTGCTTGCTCAAGAAGTAAAACAGTTGACCAGTCATACAGAGCTTACATCTAGCATCCTAAAGCTTTTAGGGCAGCCATTTATTGATGAATACCTTCTAAATGAACCAAGTTATGCTGCTAACTCAATACCAAAACCAGCTGCAGATGAAAAAGATATACAACGGGAAGCAAATGACTGGTTAAAGGATAAGCTACAAAAGATTATTAAGGAATTAAGGCTGAAAAATCCTGATTATCCAGATGATGAGGATGAAGGGCTCTCACAAGATTGTTTGGAGTACATTGGATTTGGACAACAAGTTATGTATCAAGGGATGGAGAGAGATTTGTCTGCAGCAGAAAAGAATCGTGATGTGGTAAGAAAATTTTAGTTTGCCAGGCAAAAGGTGTTTCCCATATTTCCAACCACATGTTATTCTCTCAAGAATAAGAATCTTTGTTAAGATTGTTAACTATTAAACAAAGAAATAATACTCTAGGAAATGAAAATAAGATTTTGTGTTTGAGTTGTATCCATATTCATGTATCTTGTCATGCACAACCATTAAACAAAGAAATGATACTCGAGGAAAATAACATGTTGTCTATTCCTTTTTTCTTTAGAATGACCAGTGCTTTGCAGATAATTCATTGATATCAGGACATCAAAGTGAGGCTCTGGGGGCTTCAGTGTCCTGTATTCTAAGAAATCACCCTTCTTGTTTGAAAAGAGTGTCACTTCAACTGAAGGGTAGACAGTTACCTAACACCTTGCGGCAGCTCATATGGAGAATAAATATGTTTAAAGCTGATACATCAATGAATAATTATGACTCGCACATCAATGAGCTGAGAAATCAATTCATGACGGCAGTAAAATGGGGAGCAAAAGAACTAGAAATTGATCATCCTACCTGTTCTTCTATCGATGGTATCATAAGGCATGCCGTTACAGAGATCTACAGCTTGATACCCTGTATACAGGATGGCAACATGAGAAGAATTTGCTTTACGATGGCAACGCAAGCATTAAACATTTTGTATGTTCATGGTAGAAGCTATGAACCTCATTATGCTCTGTTATTATTGCCGTTAGTATGGACATACTCTGGTTATGCTTCCAAACAAGGTATGATCAATATAGTTTGTAAAATTGTCTATGCATCTATGTTTGGTAATGAAGCTCCAAACGCTAGGGAATCAAGGAGTGGTACTTTAAATAGAGCTTTTATGAGGTACATTCTGGTGCATTCTGGTCTAGATTGAGTACAAACAGCATCACATAAGCCGTGATRGACACAAGTTGAAGAAATACCCCAGCTAGACCACAATGCATCATCTTCACTTTCTCAATAGGGAGTCTTACATTACTCATGGCCCTAACACTGGGTATGTAATATCATCATAGAAGAATATGATGCAGCAAATGTCTTAACTATGAATAATATATCTAGTTACAGAATGTAGCCCAACATTAGTGCCAGTAGGATGTTGCCAACAGGATAAAATCCACCTACTGACACCTCATTGACACCCTGCTTAACTGCCACTGACATCCTATGTATGTCCTTAACAACACATTTTTGGCTTTCCTTATCATGCAATGTAACACTATAGATGTAAAGTAGTGATGAAAAGGTAAATTATACACCGTGAAAAGATGAAAAAACTTTTAGTAAGTTTTTTCATCTTTTCACGGTGTATAATTTACCTTTTCATCATTACTGTTTCATTAGAAACACCGACGCAGCTCACACTAGTTTTTAGCTAGTTATATCAGATGTAAAGTAGATGATGTTTTTTGTTAACAAACAAATTAATGTTTCCCCCCCAGATTTTTACAGCCAAAATCTTGCAGAATGTCTATACTTTTTGCTCAAAAATTGTTTTCCATCGAGAGTGGATATATTCACAATAGCTGACCATGTCATTGGCAGACTTCAACAAGGAGACCCCCAGCTGTTTGACCACTTGACCACCAGCATGCAGAGGAACATTGCCTTTGACCCTAGAGAATTCTTGGTCAACTTCATGCACAAGGAGAGAAAAAGAGCTATCGAAATGGAACAGAGTTTATCACAAGATAATATGTATTCATCAGAAAATGAGGAGAATTTGGATGATGCTAAGTCTTTGCTTTCGCATCCAATCATATTTATCAGGAAATGGGTTGGGGAGGTGAGTGAGTATGAGGAAAACCTGCATTAAAAATACATGTAATTATTGTATATATTTGTTTKTGTCTGGTGCTATGTGCCCTGCCATTTCAATCTTGAACTTTTTGACGCATTTGAGATTCATGATAAAAAATGATTAACTGTCAAAACAGAGCAAAATTAGCCAATCAATGATAAGCCAGACTACATTCCAATATGTCGCGACCAGCTGATAAACACAGAGTCATACATGTTTGTTGAAGCTTGTTAAAATTTGAATACAACCAATGATACGAAATTTGGATACAACCAAATGACCAAAAATCAAATAATGAACATTGAATAATGTCAGTCTTTTTTTTGTAGGGGGAGGGGGGGGCATGCTTTGATCAAGTCCCTCAACTGTAACTTGTCAATGGTTGTTTTAATCAGCACATAGCAATAATAGGGTATTAAAATCAGTGGTAATGCAATGTTCTTTTCTCTCTTCAGGGTTTTGTTGGTGTTCTTGACCTTCCAGCCATACTTTTTGTATGGGACCAATGTTTTCTTAGTAACTGGCAGCCAGCTATTCTAGAGAATGTTTGCCTGGTCCTTCTGCAGCTGTTGAGACCCAAGCTAATGTTAGCAACAGATTACCATGGCATAAAGACAGTATTACTTAGTCATCCCCATAGCCTCTATACATGTGATATTCAAAGAGGGGTCGTGTATCTTAGTAATGGTGGTGCGCTGCAGGATGTTGGCAGTTTGAGACAGTAAGTAGGGACTTGTTTTTACTGTGTTGACACTCTAGTTAAGCTAGTTAAGTTGTCAATCATGGCATAAAGTAATTAATAAGAGGCAGAGGAAAACCCTTGAACAATTCTACTTCCACTACACACCAAGCTTTGAAATTGAACCTGGGTTTTATTAGCAAGAGACAAGCACTCTTTCCACTACTCCAACCCCATGGTACTTGCATTTGTGTGCACATTGGTTAGAGGTGAGCACTCCTACCTATATGCTAGCCACACTTTTCACATTTGGAGCATCCATGTTTCCCATCCATGTTTCCCAAATTTGTGTGTAATCATAACTTGTGCTTTTGTGTCCATTAGACCTAGTCAAGCAGAGATAGAGATGAGCAGCCTGCAAAGCACACCACACAATAACCAGACACCAAGAGTAAAGAGTACAAAAAGCACAAGATCTAAATCTAGGAGCACCACTCTAACCACTAATAACCAACCTGATCTAGGAGAACTGTGGATAGAGAAGAGAGTTTCTGATACTCCTTCAGCTAGGATCAGTAATGCTGAATCCTTTGATCTGTACATTGATGAAGTTAGATTCATTCCTGACAATGCTACTGTTGTCAAGGTAAATTTTGATTTTCTCGATCTGCTTGAAGATTGATCTCAACACAATCTTCAAACATCTATTTAAACACAACTCTTAAATGAATCAGAGTAATATAATTTAAAACCAGCTAACACCTGTCAATCAACAGTCTGCCGACTGCCAATCCAATTGACTGATTGTTGGCCAGCACATAACCAAAATAATTCAAAAGTTCATTCATGGAATTGAGTGAGTATTGGTGATGTGTCTGCCAAGTGTTGGTCAATTGTCGGCCATGCACGGTCCGCCAATAGTTGGGYACCCTGATTGTCTACTTAAGCATGTCAACTGACCTTAAAGTACAGGATTRCCATAATGTTTATTGTGATTGAAATACTGTTATAACATTCTTTTTCTTTTTCTTCAGGTGACTGGAAGAATCCTCAGTCCTTTCTGGAAAAAGCCAAGATCTCTTGATGTCTCTGATATAGATGCATATGCTAAGCTAGATTCTCCAGCGCGATGTCCTCAGTTTCATTACCGTTATTCAGTATCTGCTCCCAGAAGTGGTATTCCTGTTGACAGTGTAGTCTTGCTTAGAGTCTATACTGTGGATGTTGATACTGCAGAGTTGGTGGTCATTGGAAATTGTGCTGTAAATCTTTATAAGCAAGAGTATGATAAGGTAGTTACAGTATACCATTACAACTAGGCATGCTTAACAGCAGACACACTTTTTACATTTAAGACCATGTTTCATGAGAATACAGTGTATACTGTACATCAATATGGATGCGACTAAGACGAAGTATCTTGGTCAGAAATGGGAAAATAGTCTTTATCTATGAGTTCTGGTATTAGTATTAGGACAGTGTAGGGTGAAAGAGTGTTGTGCATGAAATCCACACATGGGCTCGATTCCCACAAGTGGAATGCTATTCATGTACGAGCCAGAAAACTTATTGAGTTCCCATGCAGCACAACTGCTCATTGACTTTTGCTTGGCTTCCTGATCACTCTCATGTTATGTCTTCCTGTTTATAGCACTTTTTGAATGTTGGTGGCAAACAGTTGAGGTTAAAGCATCAGTTACCTTCATCTGTATCAAGACTTGACGAGAGTCTTTTTATTGATCCAGTGTGCTTACCTGTTGTTACACTTCTAGTTAGAATACTACCACATTCTGAGGTAAGTATATGTGTGTGTTAAATTGTATAATATTAGGCTATAGGTCAGAATAATATGGTAATTATAAACACAGATCTGCCAAACCAGAACATCCGTTTTTTTCAACTTCAATACAAACCTATAACTGATCTCCTGTAGGTCAGGGCAACTCACAGATTGAATTACAATCTAGTATGTGGGGTTTCGTAAAGGGATGAATGGAGAACCCTAAGAAAAACGATCACATCAAAGGAGAGGCCTAACAAATTCTACTGATGTGAGGCTCGGATCAGTAATAAATTGAACCGTACCTGAGACACCAAAGACCTGGAGGGGCAAGTGCACTACTGCTGAAACACACTTCTTGCCAATCTATTAGTGCAGTTGTATTCACATTTATTGTAATTGTTTTATATCAGGATTTTGTGGAAGCTCCTGGATATTCTAGTGGATATTATGACAGCTCAGCCTTCAGACCTGATGGATCGGAGAAGAGAATCTACAATCACTACAGAGTGTTTGATCCCTATCCACCTACTGTTAGAGAGGCCATAAGAGATGTCAAAGAAGAAGAAGACCAGATTAACATTGGTAAGGCTTCAATTATTTGACACTGAATCTTGTAAAAAAAACATGCATCCTATTTGAACATCCTGTTCATAACCTTTTAATTCWGACATGCCCCAGCTATTTATCTGGCCATATACCCTACCTCACCCTCTCCTACCCTGCCCTACCCTACCTAATGCTACCCTGCCCTGTCCTGTCCTGTTCTACCCTTCCCTACACTATCATACCCTATTCTACCCTACCCTAGTCTACCCCATAATACCCTCCCCTCTCCTCCCTTCCCCTCCCGTACCCAGACCCTACTAATAATCCAATGTCCTAGTCTTTACTATTACCAAGACTTATTTGTATAGTAATGTACAGCACTCCTTAGACTAATGCTTTTTTTCTAAACGATTTTCAACAATTCAATCAAACATTATCATGAACAGGAAGTTCTGGATAATGAAAGTTAGTGATTGTTTGATTATAAATTATAATATATATGTCTCTTATCATCAAAATTTTTTGTTCTGAATCAATTTACAGAAGGAGACATTTCAAACCAGGAAATGGAAAAATGGTATAGAAAAAGAATGAGAAAAGAACAGCTGGACAGGAAGCCAGCCAGGTCATTGGAACTGATGCAACTTGTACAGTATGATCAGAATCAGGGTTTGTGTTTTTCAGTAGATCAGGCCTTTGGTCTTCCAACTGCTTCTTTTGTCAACGTCTTGACATTTGTCAGCGAGGRACCTACTGCACGAATAAAAGGCAAAACTACAGAAGGTTTTGGTGGAGAAGAAAGCTCTCTGACAAACAAGAGAGACTTTGAGAGTCTTCAGAAGTCACCCAAGTGGGTAGATGATCTCAAGGTATGATAACTTGTTGTTCTTTCTAATTTCTACATGTCAAGTAGTTGTGTAGTTGGGTAATTGTATAACTAAGAAAGCATGGAACATGAAACATTTATGGATATCATCAAACCAATCACAACAAACACCTTTGTGCCTAATTCCTGGGGGGTACTCTTGCCCGTTTAGGATAGGGATGTGCCGCTGAGCCCTCTGAACCCTGACCCAGAGTAAAATTGCTGAAATTCATACCCTGTTCCAGAGTGAGATCGCTGAAAACCATACCCAGTTCCTGTGTTGTGAAAATAGATACCCTGTTCCAGATAGGAGAGAGTGTGATTTCATATACCCTGTCCCAGAGCGAGCACGATTTTATATACCCTGTTCCAGAGTAAAATTGCTGAAAACCACACCCTGTTTGGCGGCACATACCTGTATAGAGAATAAAGGGGAGTACCCCCCCGGGGCCTAATTTGGTAATCAAGGGTCACTCATCTCTGACCACTGAGTTCTCTCAATCAATTCCTGGACTCAGTAACACATGTGAAAAGAGCTTGTTAGGTCTCTCCCTTGATTGGAGGATTTTTCCAGGTTCTCTGGTTTTCATTCCTCCAAAAAACCTTACCAGCTAAATCCCAATTTGATCTCTGAGGTAGCGGTGCCCTGACTTTGATCAGCACAGAGGGCTGTTTTGGTATCTATAAAATATTTTCAGGTTTTTTTTTAGTGATCTTCTAATCAGAATGCCCGATAAAATAAAATATTAATTATTGCATTTGTCTTAATTTTTTTTAGACAATCCATCCTCATCTGGACCCTTTGTCTAGCCTCATCATACAGTTGTATTCTCTTGATGCATCATATGAACCAAGAGCTGATAGACAAGGACCTGGTTCTGTTCTTGAAAAGAAAGGAAAGATGCTGTCCCTTGTGTCACAGGGATGGWCGGTCTTACAGCTATTCAATAAGTAGGTTTTGGAGTGCTTTCTTTATTTATTGAACCTAAATGCTAAAACAGCTATAAAAATATTTTAGTTCTTATTGAAGCCAGTCATTCCATGTTATTTGGAATCTAGACACACAAAGCATTGTTTGACAGAAAAAATTTCCAAGTATTTTCTATTATCTCTTGCCAAAACGAAGTATTTTCCACCAACAAACAAACAATAGTATTTCTGAAAGGTATTTTGTGAATCTTTCCACAGATAAGTTTTATGCTTTATTTTGAACAAARTGTTTGGTGATTGGCTAATTCATTCTGCCCGAGAGGAGCAAAGTAAACCTGTATTGCCATAGACTTCCAATCTTCCACAAGATAATAATTACAAAAATCCTCTCAGTGCAATTAATAAAAGGTTAATTACAGAGAAACTGTGAAAATAATGTTATACTTAGATGTTTTATTGCTGAAGATGTGTGCATCTTGAATAGTGATGATTTACATATTTTTATTGATATCCAGAAAATATGTGAATGGAGGACTGCATCATCTTCCTCTGTTTGAAGGCCAACCCTCATCAGTAAGTATGATTACTTAGGATTGTTTCCAGTAGTTAATCTTTGGAGCAGCCTGTAACTTCACTGTTGCCTCAATGGCTAACTTACTTGTTAACTTGATGATTAACAGTTAAAACTACATGACAGACATGATTTTCTTTTTCCCCTTTATCCTCATAGAGTATGCACCTATAAACTATCTAGCCAGGATTTTCTTCAGCATTGAATACTATTTTGAGCACTTTTTAATTAAGGATCATTTTGTCATTCTTTTCAGACTTTCATGGAATTCCTGTCTTCTCATCCTGGTGATGTCAGTTTGCATCAAGCTGTTCTACAAGGTGTTCATCAATTACAGGTTTGTAAATCATATAAAACCACATTAGGGACTGGGAAAGAAGGGTGAGTGGGTGAGTGGGATGGCTTAAAAGGGGGTGAAATAGGAAACAAATGACAGCAGGAAGGGTGTTAGGTCAACTATAATTATTATAGAACATGGTGTCTTTATTTCTACAATCCCACCCCTATATAATAACTTTTCCTTACTAAAATTAAAGACATTTCTTTTAGACATTATTCAAAAGACTTAAGTCTTTAGTTATTCTCTTTAGATGTTTTTAAATAATCTGTTAGCATAAAGCAGAAGTAAAGAAAGGAGATATGATTTATATCCCAATCTTTGCTGAAGAGCAGTAGTTATTTTATCTTCTGTCTGTAAAATGTTTACTTAAAGTGTATATGACACGAAAAAATTTTAATGTTAAGAATGTGTAGTTTATTGGCATTAATAAGAATATCACGGTTAAATTTGTTCCAAAAACGTATTTCTCTAGAAATTCAAAAAATTTTAGCACGAGTTGTGACGTCATTTTGTTTACAAGTCTCCAGATTTAGTTGCAAATACATGAAATATGTTTGAATATAGAATCTTAATTTCAAGTAGTACACTTTTCAATTTCCCAACATTGGAAGAGTACTACGTAAGCTATCAAATRAAGCTGACTAAAATATGTCTTTTGTTGTTAATTTATATGAATTACAATTTATATTTAGTACATTACTACGGAATCTAGAGTACGTGTCAACAAAATGACGTCACAAATTGGGATTAACTTTTGCAAATATCTCAAGAAATAAGCTTTTGAAACAAATTTTGTTACGATATATTTATTATTACTAACAAACTATACATTTTAAATGATGGAATGTTTTCGTGTCATATGCACTTTAAAAGATAGTAACATAAGATGTATTAAGCATCTCACGCCCTTAAACATTATAGTCCCTTCCACTACATTTCTATGTCTTGACCCAAGGTAGTGATTTAGTGCAAGAGATCAATTAAATAATGTGGTGTCAAGTTTTTATTGTATCTTTTAATATTACCAAGGGTACGTCAAGTATTATGGTTCGTATCTGCGATGGACATTATTTACAAGATAGCTGTATACCACTACCTGTATGTATCTTATTATCTATTCTCATGCTTATACCGTCTGATTATTGAACCCTAAAAACAATAAATGTACCCTTGTATGTTCATTTGGATGTCGGAGCAAAAAACTTGCTACATCTTAAAAACTGTTGCAGACAGTTTCATTTTGATGTCACTGTACTTCACTGTACTATAGGTCAAAGAATCTCTTCTTAGCATTGGGAACCAATCTAAGATAAAAAAGACTTCACAAGGGAAGTCTGGTAAACCTATAGCAGACCTAGTGTTACAGAGCCTCACAAAACAGGAACGTAAAGGGGGCATGAATGGACAGCCCTTCGTCAGAGAAAAAGACCATTTCCAGGAAGCAATGAATATTGTTTTTACTAACTTGATGGTGAGTTGAATTTAATATTGAAGGAATTTTTTTTAGGGGGGGGGGGTGGTTGTTAGTCACTTTCTTTATTTTTACTGCTGTTTTGGAGTTCCTTAAAGCAGGGCAAAAATATTTGCTCTTCAATGGCTGGACATGGTGACTGGCCATATTAAACTGATCAACATCATGTGACCAGTCAAGTGAACTGGCCAAAGAGGTGTTTGACTGGACAAGAAATTGGCCAGAAATTGTTATTCGTTATTTTAAGTTATGTTAATATAAAATGTTGTATAAAAAAATAAGTAAATGTGCATAAGGCTAAGAATTTTGGCTTTTTTTTTACAAAGTTGTGAACTTTTTTGATATTATTATTATTATTTTAGTAATTTTTTTTTTGAATCTTTATTTCTTTAGGAGAATGTTTTACTAGGACTGGGTCTGGGACCAATGTAAATAGTGAATGGTGTAGCAGTCATTTGACATGACTGTCGCGGCATGCCGTCCCCTTGTTGGTGATGTGTCCAAACATTCTGTCCATCTACAACTTTCCAAAACAAATTGGACAAGGTTTAGTTGCACATGCTGCATGGAATTTGCTACATGTTGTATGTTGCTGACTAAGTTAAAATGTATTATATTAATAAATAAAGTATATAATGTGAGCACGGAAGAAAATACAGTATATTAAATGTGCAAAGTTTGGTAAAATTTCATGTTGTTGTGACCTTTTGCTGATTGGATTCATTTCAGTGTTGGTATGCAATATGCAAAAACTTCTCCATCCTTGATTGAAGTTGCTTCATATCTTGAGGAGATTCTTAGTTTCAAGGAAAATAATATTTCGTAGTTTTCCTTTACATGTACAAACGTAGTTAAGTCATGTGAACTGATTGCTTTGTAAATAAGCTTGAAATGAAGCACCATCTCCTAGTGTTGCCATCTGTAAAATAGAAAAGGAAAAACATGAAGAAAATATAAAATAGTGGTGTGGGGTATTTTCGAGAATGTGAAGTGAAATTTTCTACCTTGTTGATCATTTTATGTCTTTCTTGGCTCACAATTTCTTCAATGACTTCACCATCRCCTTTTATAAGCCTGAAAATAAATTAAACTCTTAAAAATACAGTCGGTCTACTATTACAAAATTTATGGTTATAAATAACAAATTGACATACATTGTAGCATACGTTGAAACATCTAGCCTGCGTCACATCCAGAATTCCGGATGTGACGCAGGCTATAAAACATCATGCTGTCACAGTGTTTCATAAGTAAAATGACAAATCAATGTCCAAATTCTGGAAAGATTTGGTGATAAAAGAGCCACAAGGTGAAACCACTGATAAATCTTATTTACTTTTTAGAAWTGAGTTTATTTTCCCCCTACATTGCATCTATGAGGGGATGTTTTTTGGTCATTGCTCTGAATAGATTGTGCCTTACAAGGCCAATTTTCCTGTAGTATCGGGGGGAATTTGTTTGGGGGTGTTCAAAATGAAGATATGTATATAAATATATTATGCATCACTACAAAAAAAACAAATGAGTAATTATTGCGTTAGGGGGTGGGGGGGGGGGGGGGGGGGGGGGGGGGAGAGTGTTTGGTGCACCACAGGACATTTCCTGGATCCTCCCCTGAGTATCTTTCCCATCATTATTCACTAATACTTGATGTCATTCCTTACCTGTGACGACCAGTTTCCGCGTCATAAACTCTTCGGATCTTACTCTGTTGTTTTTCATATTCTTCACGAGTCATAGGTGCCATTGATCTAAAAAAAAAATTTTTTTGAGGTCAGTTTTAGAGTCACTCTGTGAAACATGACTGGCTAAAGTTTTTACCTCTTTGGAATAGGTTCTGCATTTTGAGGTGAAGGCCCCACGTCCACGTCTGTAAAAAAAGTTACATTTACATTCATGGTTTGCAAACATGCCATTAGAGGAAAAAGACAGAAAAAGATATGGCAGTCACGTTGATGGTTTTAACAAATAAAGCTAAAGAGAAAACCCTTGTTAAATAAAATTTAACATTAAATACATTATAAAATAGGTGTCATGATGACAAATTCAAATAAAGAAGCCAGGCCCAAAGTACTG